TAGGTAACATTTACATGATACACTCAGTGGGAGGAGGTCCAAATTGTTTCTCTGCAGCTCTGTTTCCATGCTCTGTTGCATAACTGATTACATTCAGTTTGAATTTTGAAGAGTAAGACATTCACTTATTTATTTTTTTATTTTCCGACATCTTTATGGCTCAGAATGCTCTGACATTACCGGTCCCTGTCGCATCGGTGCACTGCCTATGCGCTGTCCACCTCCAACGGGATGTCTTCCAGTTGGTTGGTTCAGCATCAGCTGACGTCAGTTACATGAGGCTCGTGATTGGAGGAAGCCTGTTTGCAGAGCAGTTTCGCAACCGCGCGGTTCTCTCCTTAGCTTACTTCCTTGCATAAGGCGCCCTTCAATTTTTAGTGTAACGATTTTAGAAAAAAGTATTGTCTTATACATGGAAAAATATGGTATATTTAGAAATGCCACATGTTTCTAACCCAGGTCATTAGGTGAATGGTTAAAAACCTGAATGTACAACTCGTTGAGTACATATAGAATTTAGCTTATAAAAGAATTGGAAACCTTTTCAATTCTACAGCCTTAAAAAAAATCATAATTTGACAAATGGTTTCATTTTATGGAGGACCATACCAGAACTTCCTGGAATGTTAGCTGTAGTTATGTTGAAAATAAATTGCTATGCAACTACAAACTACAAAATCAGGTTAGGTTTTCACATTTAACAGATTGCTGCTGTTACAACTGCATGTTGAAGCTGTGCTTTTTTTAAGAATTAGAAATGACTTGAGGATGTTTTCTATAATATACCCCCCCCCCCCCGTTTTTTAATCTCATCACTTTTTTTTTCTTCCTAGCGTTTTTCCCATACGGGCAGAGTCTGCTTTTTTCCCCGGATCAACCAAATGTTGATCTGTTGGTTGCGACAGGAATTGACCAACCAGCTTTTTGCCCGAGCCTGATGTTGTGGGCTGAGAGAGAAGACTGGCCCAAAGTTACCCAGCTGGCTGTCATGCCTAAGGCGGGACTGGAACTCACGGTTTCCTGCTTTCTAGCCTGGTGCTTTCACCACTAGATCAAACATCACTACTTCTTGCAAAACATGTTATGCAGGATTTTTGAAATTATTGACCAGAGTTAAAACTGGAATGAGTGGAGTATGATCCCTCTTTCAAAACATCTTCAACTTTTTGGTCTATGATCTGAATAGAGAGACCTCATCAAGAATACTAAAAAAAAAAAAAAATCTTGTCCTAATTCTCAGAAACATAACACATATTGACCAGGTAAATACATTTGTCAGGCAGACAGATAGCACGCTTGACTTGACACTTCCTGTGTAAATAATTCTTTAGTGCTCTAGTGTTGATCTGTTGGGTAATTCAAACAGTACAAAGTCTTCAGCCGAATGTTTTAAACTTTCTGCTGATTTTTCTGCTGTGTCAACGAGTGTTCATTTATTAACTTCTCTTCCAGATTGCTGACCTCCAGCTTCATAAGCTAGACGAGTTGGACTGCCTGATCCAAGGTCTTCTGTATGTGGATTCTGTTGGTTTCAATGGTCAGCCGGAATGCTATTATTTTGAAAACCCCTCAGCACCTGAGCGGTGTCAGAAAAAGCCTTACTGCCTTGATAATCCCTTTCCTATGTTGCTAGTTAACATAGGCTCTGGAGTCAGCATCTTAGCAGTGTATTCCAAAGACAACTATAAGAGAGTTACAGGGACCAGGTGAATATACTGTCTTCCTAAAAGAACTTTTTCCTGATGAAAAGACTCTCAACTCATTCTTGAGCTGGGAATTGGGATCCAACAACCAATAGCTGTATTTGGAATTTGCATTTTGTTTGTGGCTTTGGCACTATGAGCAACAATATACACACTTATGCATGAATATTAAAGAAAAGGTACCTTTGTGGAATAGGTGGAATAATCAGCCATTTTAGTTAAGACCCTAGAACAACATGTTAGCTAATATAAGTAAAACCTTTAGAGAAATATGACTAAATTTTTTTTAAAAAAAATTACTGAAATCAACCACTTGTTATACTTTCGTACTCAGGCCCTGAAAATATATTCTCCTCAAATCTTAAATTTGATATCTTCCCTTGTCTGTGCATTCCAAGTAGGTGCTTTATGAAACAAGTGAAAAATACACCTTTTTTATTAGATTGAGGATGGCTAGGAGCCAATTAATTTTATTTTAAATTACTTTTATTCAAGACCTGTAAAATTATAAGAGTAGTATCAATATTCAGACTAATCTAAAAGAAGAGATTCCAGCAGGCACAGTTGTCCAAATTCTCAGCTTTAAATGATGCCATGTACCTCTTTACCTCTTTATTTTGCACTTTTTGTCTGGGGCAGTACAGGTAGTCCTTGTTTAGTGACTGCTTCATCCAGCAACCATTCACAGTTACAACTGTGCTGAAAAAGTAACTTTGTGACCAGTCCTCATATTTACGACCTTCGCAGGTCTGTAAAGCAAAGGAAAGCTGAAATAAAATTGTAATGTTCCACTTAGCAACTACTTTGCTTAACAGCCAAGTTGCTGGTCCCAGTTGTCACTAAACAAGGACTACCTGTATGACTTCCAGGAATAGATTAAAAAGTTCCACTATCTATTAGAAAGTGATCAGAGTTTCTTATACGATCTAAACTTGAAGCTGAGGCATGGGGATAGAAGAAGAAAGATCTCACTAGTTTAAAAAACAATTCTGATTAGTTTTAAAACAGGAAGTGGATGTTTCCCACCTTTTAATGGCCCTACAGAAGAAATGGTCAGAGTTCAAAGCTTGCTTTGGTTTTCTCATCTAATGCTAACCCAATTAGGTGTTTTCTAGATGTTCTAGATCATGATACCCATAGTCTAGATGTTCTAGTTTTGATACCCAGAATTCCTTCCCATAGATCATGCTGATCAAGCTGACAGGAGTTGGTCCTAAATATCTGGCGGACGTCAGATTTACTATCCCGGGATTAACTGTATGCTTACAATAAGCTGTTGTTTTCACTGCTTTAGACTTAAGGAACATGTTTCCTCCTACAATGTGTAACAGGGTGTGTCAAGACAGGTTAAAGCTTGCTCTTTTTAGAAATTAAACCCTGTCACTTCTGCCCTTTATCCCATTCTGAAACAACTATCCACGTTTGGGTATAGTAGGGAAATCTTTAAAGAAGTGAGTTATCTGAATTCATTTACATTTGATTAAAGTACAGTTAATATAATTACTCTTGTGTATTTGATAACTTTTCCCACCTGTCACATTAAAAATTACCATTTGGGGAAAAAAAATGGGAAGACTTTGGGAACTTTACTCTAGGATTTCTAGGGCCCAGCAAGCCTTTATTTGTACTCTTACAGGGAATAGCAGTATTTGTATGCTATATCTCCTATATTGGCATTCCCTATCTCCCCATACTTTCTTATTTAAACTACTGTTCACGAGGTTGCATATATTATAATGATCATTGTTAATTTGTGATGATGTTTTTCTTTGATGAGTGATGTTTTATTTGTTGAATATTTATTTATGTTGGTTTTAGGCCATGATTGAATACAGAGAAAATGAGCAAGAATGTTGAAAGAAAAAGATAGAATCAGACACGCAAACTCCATTTATTTATTATTAGATTTTTATCCCATCTTTATTTTTTTTTATAAATAACTCAAGGTGGTGAACATACATAATCCTCTTTCCTCCTTTTTTCCCCACAACAACCACCCTGTGAGGTGGGTTGGGCTGAGAGAGAGCGACTAGCCCAAAGTCACCCAACTGGCTTTCATGCCTAAGGCGGGACTAGAACTCACAGTCTTCTGGATTCTACGCCAGCACTTTAATTAGTAGACCAAACTGGCTATTGTATTATATAATTGATACATATTTTTCTATAGGCAATTTTAGTTTATAGGCAAAAACATAAAGGAAAAAACCTGAATGTTAAAAGCAAAACAATTATTAGAAACTTTATCTGTTGCCTATTATTATTGGCTGGTCTTATTTCTTTCCCATATTTCATTTATTTTATTTCCCTCTTTTTTGCTTAGTGCTGTGTAACAATGTCCCTTATGTATTACCTATAGCAATCTCCTCATTATAATGGAAATATCAACCTGGATTCAATTTTCTAATTACTGTAATTACTGCTTCCAGCCAGCATGTTTGATAAAGCTTTAAAATGGTTGTAAAGATACAGAAGAAATGAAGTCTTCTGCTTAGAATTCTCACAACCAGCAGTCATGTACATTTTGAGAGAAAGAGACTAGCAGCTTATAAATAAATTAAATAAATAAATAAATAAATACAGAAATATCTAGCCTATGCAGAGGTTCTACAGATACCTTGTCAAAGAAGAAATAAATTTTTTTTTTTGGTACTTTTAACCAGACCACTTTCCTGCTAGAACCATTCAAACAAGATGCTTGGAAAATGGGAGCAGGTCTAGTATGCTCTTTCTCTTTGAGCAGGGAGCATGCGTGTCATCTTTAGAAGGAGGGGAATACAGAGATGAAGTTTCTTCAGACTAAAGAATAAAGCTTCAAAGTAAAAAATGTGTGCTGCCTGCTTAGAGATAAAGAATTATTTCAGAATGTTTAGTTTTAGCAGGGACTTGTTGAAAATCTGCTCTATAATGTTACTGACTGAGGCGTGGCATCTGAAAGGGAATATGCACTGTTGAATAGATTCATAATGCAAAGAAGTGGATGTCACTTAAGAGAACAGTTGGCTATAAGGTTCTGCATTTTCGTATGTTTCATATTGCCTGCTTTCACTGAGGTGAGAAACAGCGCACAAATTAAGCCTATACAAGCATCAACCCTATTGCCTACTGTTTTCCTGAACTGCGCAAGCCGCCTCAGCACTTAGCTGAATGTAGGAGGCACCCACATTCTTTCATAAAATAACCAGTGTCACAATCATAGAAATAGATCTAGATCTATTTCACTGCAGCCATTAAAATGAGAGATTCATCATTCATTCAGTATCTCCCTCCACCCCAAGGATGGCTGGAGGGATAGGAACTGAGGAACGTCAACCCTTGTCAAGCATTTGAAATGGTATCTTTCTCATTCTAGTCTCGGTGGTGGAACATTCCTGGGTCTTTGTTGTTTGCTGACTGGCTGTGAGACCTTTGAGGAAGCTCTAGAAATGGCAGCTAAAGGAGACAGCACCAATGTTGATAAGCTGGTGAAGGATATTTATGGAGGAGATTATGAACGGTTTGGTCTTCAAGGATCTGCTGTTGCATCAAGGTACGTATGGACAAGTCACAAGAATGTGAGTTCTGTGCCTTCTATTTATATGTTTATTACTCAGCAATGGCATATTGCTTCATGCTAATCGAACCACCATCCCCATCATTCCATATCAGTCAGCTGCAACCGAAACAAATAGACCTTATTGTGCTGTAACGGGTAGGAAGCGTTTTGCAGCCTGACGGCTACACTTCTTGTTGGAGCGGTGAGTGGTTTGACATTGAAGGTTGCAGTGAATAACAGGATGATGACACAAAGTGGCAAGGCCATAGTATGGAGAGAGGGGAGGCTGGGATTTTTGTGGGCTTGGGGAGAATTTTTTAATTCTTTAATTGCATTCTAAGCATTTTAAACATCCAGTAAAGTGCTGAATTTTGCAGTGTGCTCTGGGAGTTACAGGTAAGCATTTTAAGGCTGTAGATGGTCTACAGGTAATTAACTTCTGTCATAAGCACTATTAAATATAATGTGAAATATAATGTGTTTTCACACTGAGATTGTAAAGTGAGATTAGAAAATCAACCAGCATCCTGAAAGCAGCAGGTTGTATCATACATAATTCAGTTTATCAATATTACTCAAATTAATTGCTAGACCGCAAGAGTTATTTAGGTCTGGCACACCCATTTTCCAGATTTATTTATTTATCAGGCCACTATGGCTTATTCAAAAAAGTGATTAAAAAGCATGTTATGTGATTTAGGAACCCAATTTGTATACAGTAAAGCTAACATAGCTTAGCTTGCTGATCTATGTCTGAGAGGACTGGAATAAGCAGACACCACCCAGCTTTGTTCATAAGAATGTAAGAAATATGCCGGATCAGATCCAAGACCCATCTAGTACAGTGGCCCCACTGGCTTCTATGGAAAGAGTATAGGTAGTCCTCAAGTCACGACTGCAATTGGGATTGGGATTGCTGTTGCTAAGCGATGTGGTTGTAAAGTGTGATGTCATGTGACCGTATTACTTAGCAACGGCAATCCAGACAGTCCTGTGGTAGTTGTAACCCATGCATGGATCATTAAGTGGGAAGTGGAGGGAGTCCCAAATAAAGAGCACAGGGATGCTGGGGGGTTAGGGGAGGCCCGGTGCAGGCTGTGCGCAAGTCAGGGAGGGAATGCTCTGTGGTGCAAGCTCAGAAAGGCCAGAGAATGAGGGCATGGGGTGCATGCGATTGCAGGGAGGCTGGGGAAGGAGGGTGCGGGGTGTGTGCAAGCAAAGGGGGGAAGAAGCATACAGTCCATGCGAGCGAAAAGAGACCAGGGGGGTAGAGACTTACCCCAGCAGCTTGCAACCTTCCTTGCTGCCTTCCCATTGACTTTGCTTGGGGGAATCCGGCAGGGAAGGGTGCAAATGGTGATCATGTGACCATGGGATGCTGCAACTGGTTGTAAGTGTGAGCTGGTTGCCAGGCACTCAAATTTTGTTCACATGACTGTGGGGGCACTGCAATGGCCGGAACTTCGAGGACTGGTCATAAGTCCCTTCATTCAGCATCATCACTGAACAAATGGTTGTAACTCGAGGACCACCTGTAGAAATAAGAAAATTGTGACCAAGAGTTATATCCTCTAAGAGTTGATCCAATTCCCTTTAGAACTGGCTAGATTAGTGGTCAACATTGTATCTTGTAGTAGTACATTTCAAAGCTTGACAATGTACCATGTAAAGTAATATTTTTAAAAAATTAAGACCTGGATGGCCCCAAGTTCTATACTGTGAGAATTTTCTCCATGTTATGTTTAGTTGGCTGGTGTGGGTCTTCCGGGCTGTGTGGCCGTGTTCTGGAAGTTTTGTTTCCTACC